TGGGACCGCCGGGGAGCCGCTGCAGGGGTTAAAGGGAGCGCGGTGAGGTAGGGACGGGCAAGGTGAGCACAGAGCCCGGCACAGGAGCTACAGGCAGGGAAGCCATGTCCAGCTTGCGCCGTTTGCTCTCCGGAGATATGAACGTGGGCGGAAAATAAGTGAAGTGCCACCGACTTCTTTCTAAGCAGAGCTTTCCATAAAGCTGATAAGTGATGCTCTCCCACAGCTAGGCAGAGCAGGGGAGCTGCTGCGGGACCGCGCCGCCCCGGCGGGCGGCGGGACATCTCCGGCAGACCAACTTCTCTATTGGCAGCCTTAGGCACAAAAAGTCAGGATTAATTTTTCATCGTTCCCAACTTCGGTGTTCCAGTGCTGTCAGCAAATGCCAGCCTTTCAGATGCTCGTGCTTGTGTTTTCATCCCAACGTGTCTTAAATAAGTCAGTGTTGACAGGTGTTGCTTGTAAGCAGCGTTGAACAGTTCCTTTTCATTAAGGAAACATTTTCTCAAATGGCATATGTTTAAACCCGAAGCAATAAAGTCACCTCAATCCCTCTCAAAAAAAAAAAAAAAAAAAAAAAAAAAAAAGCAGCAAAATAAACACCCCCTCCCCAGCTCCTGGAAAAGGAAGAAGAGTTATCTTAAGTGAATGCCTGGAGTGCGATTTTATTTCCTCACTGTGGAGATGACAGATTTAAAAGAAACCTGGTGATATAAAACGATTAGCCAAAATATGTGATGTGCTGCATTGCTACCAACTTTTTAGATTAATTCTCCACTTATTTTATAGCATGCACGTAGCTCAGTGCAGTGCATTTAACGGTGGTATTTGCTAGATGCGGTAATACCCAGCACGGTTTATGCGTCTTGCGTGCAAAGAGAAAGACTAATGGAAACCAAATTATTTCTGTTAAATTGGGGTTATTTTGTATCTCCTGTTGACAGCCTGGATGAAAGTCATAACGCCGCAGTTTTTCTATTAAATGAACCCCATGGCTGTTGGTCTCACAATAAACTTTTCACTTTAGAAATTATATTCGGATAGGGTTTTATGAAATATTATTGTTTGTCGCGCTGAGCATACTTTCTCCATTCTTGCAGTCTGATCTCGGCTCGAGACTCCCTAATAAGGCAATTCTGTAGTAGGAGCGCCCAAAATAAAGACATGGCATTTTCTATAAATAATAGCAAGAGCCCTGCACAGATTTCCTGCACAACGGAATTCCCAGATTTCCTTTACAGTTTCTTTAGTTTGCACGCTTTCGGTATATATAACTCCGAAATTAAGCAAAAATATACATCTGTATAGATCTGTCAAGCCAGTTATAAACAGAGGCATTATATGTCAATTACCACAGGAAACGGAAAAAATACAGAGCGCTTGTACACACGGTTTAGCTTCAGGAGGCACTTTACAAAAATTTAGTGACTCCTGCCGAAAGGTGAATGATTAACCCGGTTCCAGGAGAGGGGTTGTTAGAAACAGCAGTTGTGAGGGGGCTGTAAAGGGGTCATAAACTGCCCCCTCCCTAGGGCAGGAGTTGGCATATAAAATCAAGGGTCCCGAGTGATCAGTTTAACCAAAATGCGGTTTTTCTGGGCTCGGTTCGTAACTCAGTTGCTGGGTTTTATTCTGCGGACGTTACTCAAGGGAGCAAATGCTGTAAATCTGGGATCGGGTCCCAGGCTTGGCAGACAGCTGGCAGCAAAGGGGGGTCAGCTCTGTGCTCAGCTGGCAGCAAGGGGGGGTTAGCTCTGTGCTCGGTCCCGTTCATCTCCACTTGGAAGAAAAGTGCATTTTTAGTTTATTTATGTCTTATGGAAAGAACTGTTTCTGGACACCGGCTTTTCCTACATCTCTCTGTTGAGTGGTGGAAGGGGAGACTTGAAGAAACAAACAGAAAAACATCCTCAAAGGCCAATTTCGCACTTCCCCTTTTCTTGCTTCCCCCTGAGCCCGTCCCTGGCACCTGCTGCCCTGAGCACCCGCAGCATCGCCCCTTCTGTCCCAGCCCGTGGGCACCCCCGGGGCCTTTCCCCTCACACCCACCCGCTCCCGCCGGGAAGGCTCCCACAGGGGCAGGCGGGGTGTTCGGAGAAGCCCCGTTGTGCTGCGATTTCCATGGAAAAAGGGCTGTGACACCCCGCCGGCAGCACCCAGCGCCCAAACCCACGCAGATCGCTGTGTGCCCAAAGCGCTTCTCCTGCCCCGCCTGTCGCACACACCTGCGGGGCCAGGGCCGCTGGGGATGGCGGGGAGGTTCTCGCCATCTCTCTTGAGGCTTCTATTTTATTTCCCTCTTTATTTCCCCACGGGCTCCCCTGTGCTCCTGGAGGAGCCCCAGGCCCCCTTGCCTCTCTGCGCTGCGCCCGGGCCTCCTCCGCAAAGGCTCGTTCGGATCTTCGGGTGGAGGACAGTGGATAGACACATGGCAAGTGTTGTTGTTGTTATTATTTATAGCACCGTCTCTCTGCTCCGATTAAGCGCCGTCTAAATATGAATTCACTGTATAGACAGCTAGTCTATAATTTGAATTAAAATCCTTCCAACGAGCCCGTCGCTGGAGAATTCTGAAATCACAAGCCTAAGTTGACACAATGAGCCCATGGTGTCAATAAACCATGGGCGAGATGGAGAGATTGTCACTCCAGACCATAACAGTTCTGAAAGTGTCATTACCGTCTGTCCTGTCAATGAGCTCCAAATTAAGGACTATGAGGAACAGCGAGATAAAAGTCACCGTCTTGGCTCCATTATGGGCGATCTTGTCAGTGATCTGAGAATCACTGGAAAGGGCTTTTTTTTTTTTTTGCTTTTTTTTTTGCTTTTTGCTTTTTTTTGCCTTTTTTTTAATGTACTTTTCAAACCATGCCTCGGGATGCCAGGGTTTGAGGTGCGCTGAGAAGCAACCTTGAAGCACCCCAGGCTGTGCCTCAGGCGTTCCCATTGAAACTGCCACAGCTTCTTTGGGAAACGGTGTGAATTCAATGGAAGAGCCGGAATAATTCCATCAAAACTGTGCTGGGGCCAAAGAGGACTTCATTTGATTTGGGCGACACGTGTGATCCCATGAACAGACACTTTTTTTGACCATTATTTTCTTAAGTCAACACAAAGATGGTGAAGGGGAAAGAGGGAAATAAAATAGAAGCCTCAACTTTAGGAAAAGACAATACATTTGAGATAGTCCCTTCCAGGCATTAAGACTTTCAGAGAATGTCCCCAGTCTCTCTCCTGCGAGCCTGAGAGAGTTAAGGGGACTTATTCAGGAATTGGAAACCTTCAATTCTGGATTTTTGTGCTTTTGTGGGTTTAAGCAAAGCAGTTAGCGTTCTTCAGGAGGGGTTTTGTGTTTAATATACATGAGTTCATTCAACTACAATGGGAAAAGAAAACTCATTTGTTCTTATAAAACTAGGAAGGAAAGATAACTTTAAATAGACTGCCAAAAAGGATCCCGCTCGAGGGGGTTGCTTTCCTGCTAAAGAGCCAACATTCAACTGTAATTTCACCCCGTTACGTTGTACAGTAATTTCTAAGTTTATCTTCGCCACTGATCTTGATTTTCTGATTTATTTTAAAGATCACATAAGAAAAAGAGTACGGGCTTCACTTATATTTTCCTTTGGGTAAGAAATCCCGTGAGTGTGATTTTAGACACAGAACAAAAATCGCGGACAGTTTGAGGAAGATGTTGGCTATTTATGAAGAGTCATGGAAGCCTGTTTGGACAATCGGCTTCTCCTTTTACTGAGAAGCCTTTTGAAAGCGACTTCGAGAGGTGGTGTGAGCGATTCGGCTTTTCTGCTGCTTATTGTGTGTACATTAAACTCCCTCCAGGATCCGAGTTTTAATTTTTCTTTACATTTCCCTTCTTGCAGCACTGGAAAAAAAAACCCGGAGCTGCTTTTTTTTTTTNGCTGCTCTGCCTCGCCTCCCCAGCGCCCGCTGCCTTCGCGCTGAGCCCTACTCGCTCTCAAAGTCTAGATTTTTTTTAGGTCTGGGAACGACTGTAGATCTCCCCAAATTCAAAGAAACAGATGTTTGGGCTGATTATGGATGGGGGGAGGGGAGGAGGGATCCCTGCAGCTGCAACTCAAAGAAATATATTGATAAAATATTTCAGTGGTAATAAATACGCAGAGATCAGCTCGACCTTGCGAGGTCTTTATTTTAATTTTTTTCCCCATATACAAAAATCTTTATCAAACCTCTATTCTATGGCTTCAATAAACAGAACCCATTACCTCACGGCAGCTTTTGTTGGCCTGTATACAAGCGAGAACAAAATGGTTATTCAGGAGAACGCTTTCGATTTTTATTGTGTGTAGTATGCACAAAGAGCAGTGTTATTGTATTAAAAAGAACCATCTGTAGCAGAAACAATGGCATCAAATTATCTTTGAATACCCACTGCAAAAATATAAAGCTTTTTTATTATTCTTCTGCTGTACGGTGGGGGACAGAGAAGTGACTTTTTTGTTGTTGTGGGTGCATTCTTATAACACACACACAAAATCAGCCATTGGGATTTTTTTTTAAGCCATAAACGATTTTTTCCCCTCTTGTTCCAGGGACTGCAGTTAAGAGCTAGGGCTAGGACTTGGAGGATGTGTAGGCAAACGGAAAGAGAGCTGGGGGAAGAAAAACCGAAATGGATTCATTCTCTGTCCTGGATGGAGGAGGAGAGGAGAAGAGAAGGGGACGTGCGAGCTTCCTTCAACTGCCTCTGTCCGGTGAAAAGTGCTCAGACCCCCGGGGCTGCGCCGGACTCCAGAGCCCGCGCGGACTTTCGCGTTGAGCTGCCAATCAAACCGCTCGCAGCCACCACCCTGCTCTGGCACCGACATGTAAGTAGCTGCAGCACAACTTTGACATTCACAGTTTTTCCCCCTCCTCCCCCGTGACCTTTAAAACGATCTGGAAATGTAGCNCGGCGCGCCCAGCCCCCGCCCCGTTTCATGCAAAACCAGGGGAAGAGACTTGTCCTCAGTGGCGGAGCCGCCGAGCGCTGATTGGCCGCAGCGAACGCATTTATTGCCTGACAAGCCCCCATCACATGGATGGTTGTCTATTAACTTGTTCAAAAAAGTATCAGGAGTTGTCAAGGCAGAGAGAGAGAGTGTGTGTGTTTGCAAAAGGGGGTAAAGTAGTTTGCTGGCTCTTTAAGACCGAGGTGGAGAGAGAGAGAGAGAGGGAGAGAGAGAGAGAGAGAGAGAGAGCGGCAGGCAGAGAAAAGGGAAAAAGGAGGAAGAAGTTTTTTAAAATCAAGACTCCGGCGGTAATAATAGCAGTTATTAGCATTATTAATCCATCAGCGAAGAAGAAGATCCTGATCTTGATCCAAGTGTGGTTTTGGGGAGTCCCCCTCCCCCCTTTCCTACCCCTCCCTAGGAAAAAAAAAAAAAGTCCGGCTTGGGACTCCGCTGCGGCTGCTCCTCGTTTCTCTGCTCAAGGCTGGTTCCAGCAAAAGTAGTTTGAATGTACAACATGATGGAAACCGAGCTGAAACCTCCCGCCCCCCAGCAAACTTCGGGGGGAGGCACAGGCAACTCCAACTCGGCCGCCAACAACCAGAAGAACAGCCCGGACCGGGTCAAGCGCCCGATGAACGCGTTCATGGTGTGGTCCCGCGGGCAGCGGCGGAAAATGGCCCAGGAGAACCCGAAGATGCACAACTCCGAGATCAGCAAGCGGCTCGGGGCCGAGTGGAAACTTTTATCCGAGGCGGAAAAGAGACCCTTCATTGATGAAGCCAAGCGGCTCAGAGCTCTGCACATGAAGGAGCACCCGGATTATAAATACCGACCCCGGAGGAAAACCAAGACCCTCATGAAGAAGGATAAGTACACGTTGCCGGGGGGCTTACTGGCACCGGGCACCAATACCATGACGACTGGGGTCGGGGTTGGGGCCACCTTGGGAGCTGGGGTGAACCAGAGGATGGACAGTTACGCGCACATGAACGGCTGGACCAACGGGGCTTACTCGCTGATGCAAGACCAGCTGGGCTACAGCCAGCACCCGGGCAGCGGGGGGCACCCGCACCACCCGCACCCCCATCACCCGCACCACCCGCACAACCCGCAGCCCATGCACCGCTACGACGTGAGCGCCCTGCAGTACAACTCCATGACCAGCTCGCAGACTTACATGAACGGATCGCCCACCTACAGCATGTCCTACTCCCAGCAAGGGACCCCGGGCATGGCCCTGGGCTCCATGGGCTCGGTGGTCAAGACGGAATCCAGCTCCAGTCCCCCCGTAGTCACTTCCTCGTCTCATTCAAGGGCTCCTTGCCAAGCTGGGGACCTTCGGGACATGATCAGCATGTATCTACCAGGTGCTGAAGTACCAGAACCAGCTGCCCCAAGCAGACTTCATATGTCCCAACACTACCAGAGTGCACCTGTTCCTGGCACAGCCATTAATGGCACACTCCCTCTATCACATATGTAAGACAAAGGGGCCGGGGGGGTGGGAGGGGAGGGAAAGGAAAACTAAACAAAACAAACAACAAAAAAACTTTTATTAGAAATTCTGGACTTTTTTTTTTTTNAAAGTGCCCGGGGACAGGCCGGGAGGGGGAAGGGAGCGCTCAACAGCCCCACACTTATCAATAACAAGATGTATAAATATCAAAGTGAAGGAGCCCGAGTAAGTCTTTCTAGAAGCGCGGAGGAAGCTTAAGCAGCTTTCTTTAATGGTGATTTGTAGCTCTGTAAGGGGCACGGATAGCAAATACCCTGCAGGTGCATGTTGTAACACTGCCATCCGGACTTTAATGTAGATTACTCTCCAACTCGTTTGATCGGTCCTTTGAAACCCTTTACAATTGCCTGTGACGAACCGCCAGTCTCAGGTTTTTTTTCTTTGAATAATGCCTTAAGGGTAAGTCCTCGGGGCTTTTAAAGATCTCCAGCACATTAAAAAAAAAAAAAAAAAAAAAAAAAAAAAAAAAAAAAAAAAAAAAAAAAAAAAAAAAAGCGAAAAAAACCCCCACGTTTTTACTTTAGAGTGGGTCCATGTCTCTCAACTTGGGGGCTGTTAACAGGCATCTTTTAAATCATTAATCATCTAATAACCATCAACTTTGGAAGGGAGATACGGGCATCTTCTAAAGACCTCCAAACATTTCTGTGGCATTTGGGAACACACTGGTTAAAATTTGGGAGGCACACAGCCCGTCCCTCCTGCTGAAGCCCTGGAGCTGGTGGGTCTCGGGTGCTTATGGATTCTCAGCTGGGTAGATCTGTGCTGAAGGCCTTTTCCCTGGACATCGAGAACCTGCCGGAGTGGGTTTGGAGAGCAAATCCGAAGGGTGATGCAGGGGACAAGCCCGGCCTTGGGCCTCCCTGAACATCCCACATCCCGGTCCTCTGGGACCCTCACCCTGCTGTGTTGGTGCCTTCTAGCAAAGAGTGAGCGGTTTTTGAGGGGGTTAAAGAAAAAAAAAAAGACTCGAAGACACAATAAATCCCTCAGATGTTTCCACTCTCACAGCAAATAACGTTTAACCTTTAATATTTATTCGTTTCTATTAATTCAAAAAAATAATTACTGAACTTTTGGCCCTTCAACTTCCACAAGCGGCGCTTTGTTTCTCTAAAATAAACTTGGGAGAAGCGATCCCTCCGTATCAAACTAGGGATTTGAATTAAAGGCCCATTTGGGACACTTGAGACTACAAAGGGTTACACATAAATAAATGCCACATTTGCCTATTGCAAAAGTTTTCTCTGTCCTTTCTCAGTCACAACGGGGGAGAAAAAAGCCGTCGTTTATTATCTAGTGCTGGGCAGGAGCAGCCCCTCCAGAATGTGCTCTTAGATTTGGCCGGCAGAAGAGGGACTCTTCATCTCCCTACCCCCCCAACAGCAGCTCCTTTTGTTCTCCAGATCTCTTTCCCAATTTCAAGCTTCACTTGCAGATCCTAAGTTTGTTTGTTAATGACGCTATTACCATCTGGCTCGTCCTACTTTCCAAAAGATATAAATCTCCCCAGTTTCATTGCCTACATTATCAACTAAGTGCCACCATAGCTGGAAGAAAAATATGCTTTCAAGGTTGCAAATTCTCTTGCACGGAGCGAGTTCCCCGGGCGCGGGGCTGCCGCCCGCCCCGCCGGCAGGGACGCGGCCAAATGGATTTCACCTTGCAGCGACGCTGGCAGAGGGAGAGACGGCCGCATTTAAGTTTTCCACCAGAAACTTAAGTGAATCTTCCCCCCATCCCCCGCCCCCGGTCCCTCTCGGCCGCTTTTGTGGCTGTTTAATGCATCTGGCTACTTTGAACCGTTATCTTCCGCGGGGACAGGGCAGGATGGGTCCCGCTCCTGGCAGGCTCCTGCTTGCCCTCACCCAGCGTGAACCCCCGGCTCTGCGACACAAGTACATATTCCATCCGTGGGGATAAACCTTTCCCACAGGCGCTGGACAGTAAAGGGAAGAAAACTTTGGGCTCCTCTTGGTGCAAAGCGGCCGCAGATTTGTGTGCGTTTAAGCATAAAGGGACGGGGGGAGGGCGAGAAGGGGTGGGGGAGGGAGTTGGGTCGGTTTGTGTATGGGCTCCACAATGACTCTATTTATTCGCTGCAACCAGCCTGGGCAGATTGAATAGGCGAGAGAGAGACACTCAGCCTTCCCAACGCGTGGGCTTTGTGGGATCCAGTCCCCACTAGCAGATTTCGACTGCTAATTTCCCATTCTCAGGGGTCTCCTGCGAGGAGACACGGCCGTGCCCATCAACTGCGGCTCCCCCAAACACTGTCCGTGTTTCTGGTCCTTAACCTCTCTGCGTGCAAGTTTGGCGTCAGGAGAAGTTTAATCATTTAGTGTTTCTTTGCTGGATCTCTGGCAATGTTTCTGTGGACTAAAAAAAAAGCAAAAAAAAAAAAAGCCAAATATTCTATTTGACTATATGTGTATGCACACACACACACACATACACACACTGTTGTCAAGCGAGGGAAAAGATACTCCTTGAATATTGGAAAGAAACCCAGGGATTTTTTTTCCCGAGTGATCTGATTGTTATAAATAATTACGGATGAAAAGAAAACTCACTTATTATGCACTTCTAATACTGTGACTGCACAAGAGAGAAAAGGGGCCAAACCAGTGATTAATTAATATCGTACTGGCGTAGCTATTTTCTCGCGAAAGGCCTTTCCCCCCTCGCTGCTACTGAGTTATCATTCCAGCTCGAGTCATGTGTAGCTAGGAAGGGATCTTGTTTATAAATTTATATGACGACCTTTTCTTTGTGTGCGCTCTAAAGTTGATATGGACAAATTGCAGAGGTATACAATTTAAGTAGATGCACTTTTAATCACCGATCATTAAAATGGTTATGTTAAATATACTCAATTACATGCATGACTTCACCCTAACAGTACTTTCTATTCTCCCAGCTGCTCACGTATTCCTTAACTATAGTCAGCAGAAGAAACTCGATTATGCTGAATCCATACATTTCTATGGATTTCATCAGCCTAATTAATGCTTCAGTGTGGTCCATGTGTCTGAATGGTCCCTTTGCTATTACTTGGGTAAGGAGGCAGTGCTGGAATGCAGAGGGTCTTTCTTTCAAAGATACCCATGGGGGTCACTCTAGGACTCTAATGGCAAAGGTAGCAAGTGTTAAATAGCAGAAACATGCAGAGAAAGGGAAGGCAGCGATGTAAAGGGGACATTGATACTGTAGGTATGCCCAACAGGTCAGTGATGATAATTAAAACGCTTAAAGAAGAAAAGGTAAATGGAAAGCTTCCACAATTCGCAGCATGCCTGGTTAAAAGCAAACGAACCAGCGCAAAGAAACGCGCCTCGCTGATCCTGACGGGGGGGGGGGGAAAGTTGACAGCAGATTTTTAGACTAAATAACTACTAGGGCAGCCTCTTCTGTGAGCACCGCGTTTGAATGCCCCGTCCCTTCCCTAATTTTGTCGCTGTAGAAATGCAGCGTGTCAGGGAGAGGATGCCCGGCCGGGCAGAGCGGGCGCTCCCACGCTGCCGCTCCTGGCATCCCCGGGGCTTCCTGCAGTCCCCTGTCACCGCAGATGCTCGGGGAGCCGGGGGAAGGAGCTCTCCCCCTCCTCTCCGCGGCTTTCTTCCGAAACCAAGAAGCGATTAAAATGAAGGGGATGTTGCAGCCTTAGGGGAAACAGCCAATGGCGGCTTTTATAACACATCTTCCCATCTTAGCATTTAGCGGGATATAAAAGGCACGCGTCCTGCTATTCCAGCAACATTTTAATCGACGAGAAATGCATCGAGATTTTTTTTCTTCATTTTTTTTCTCCCACCTGTTGTAGTAGAAGACCATCTGATCACACCTTTCTCTGGCGGCTGGGAGACGTGAGAGAAAATCTGAACTCTTTCTTGTTACCCTGTGCTCTGCCAAAAAGGTGGTGTTGGAGCCCGCATCTCTTCCCTGTTTCTCCACCAAACAATCGACAGCTCAATTGTCCTAACTTCGAGTCGGTGCCTCTCTTCAGCCTTCATCCTTCAAGTGGAGAGAGAAAGCAGGGAAGATTTCAGATCTATAACCAAATTATAACCTAGGAACTTTATGCTTGTCATGCTAATTTAATGACTTTTATAGTAAGTGTAGACTTTCTGTCTTTTGAAATTAGCTCTTCAAAACGCTTTGTGTAATGACAGGCACTAGACATAAGAGACAAATGCACAAGCAATAGTGGGATAATAATCTGGCAAACACTGCACCATTTAATATTAAAATGGAGAACAAAGTGCATTAATTTTCAGCGTAGAGGTGCATCATTGTCTGATGCCCCCGGTGCACACCTGGGCTCCAGAGTGACCCGAGGAGGGGGTGCCCTGCGACAGCCACCGTGCCTGGGTTCACCTGGAAAATGAGCAAAAACCAGATGTGCAGCACAAAGTAGTCCTTCACCTAATGCCTTCTGGTCCCTTCGCTTTCTGGTGGTGTTCGCACGTGTGTGTGTGTGCTGTAAACATCCTGATTTCCACAGGCTGGTTCTGCTGGGCCCGGCCTCCCGCGGGAGGGTGAAGGCGCCGCGCTCACACTGCAGGGCTCGGAACGTTCACATCCACATCCCTCCCTCCTTCAGAGCGTCTCTGTGCTCACATGCCATGAGTGGTCCAGAAATCTGTCCGAGAGATGGTGTCGATAACAAAGGGAGGAGTAAACCCAAAGCTATAGGTGTATTACAATCTGGGCGACTCACTCATTGCCTATAATTGTAAATAAGGTAAGTTCACACGACGATCGAGTAACGAGGGAACAAGAGCCCCATTTTAATCAGGTGGTTATCTCTCCTTGGTGGAGATCAGAGCTCCATTGCTCCTGGCCTTCTCATTGTGCCCCCCTGCTGGAAATGACAGCTCCTTCAGAAATAACCAACTTGGTCCCTGGATGGGATTTCAGCTCTTTTGCACTACACATGTACCAATTGTCATTTTACAGCTACTGCGAAACCCCTAAATTATATAAGTGTATAAACTCGGCCTCA